TCCTTATTGTCAATTCCTCAGGCGTAAAACTCCAGAAGGTTCAGTGAGTTAGCAAAAAAATGAACAATTGGTGGAGCTCTTTTTATTTGTCTATGAAGTCATTTTGGCCCTTGCTAAATAGCCGGTGTTAGTTTCTGTCTTCAGCACAAGTTCCTCGCTGCCGCTTGGGAACGAGACACAACCTGGACGTTCACTTACGCAACTTGTTTCTGCGTCATGTGACCGCTGCAGGGGTTAATGAGAAATTATTCCTCAACCGGCAGACCAGGTGGCATCCGCGGGAGAATGTCAATATTTGCTGACGTTGAGCTCGTAACAGTGTGTGTAGTATAAGTGTTCCAGAAAAGGCAGTGCTGCGTGCGAACAAGGGATAAATGGTGCAGAAGTCAAACAACACATGAAAAATGTGTTGTTCAGTCTGGGTCTAACTGCTGTCTTCCAGCAAAGAGATGTTGAGATTGGGTGTTGGATATTGGTGAATGTCACCTGTTTGTCCTTCGTTAGCAATATTAGCGGTAAAAAAAGTTGTTTTAGGTGGACATACTTTCACAATTCCTCCCTACAAAACTTTGTACACACACCTCAACAGACCTCGATCACGTTCTCTGAAGACGTGAACAAAGGTGCCGTATTCAAGATTGCCTCTCAACATGGTGGCAGCTGATCCGGCGGCTTGCAGCTAAAGGTGCTTTCAGTGCTAACGGTGCATATTTCATTCTCTGCTCGGTTAGACATTACTCCAGTATATCTTTGCATAGCAAATCTTTTTGGACATATATTTAACATACGACAAGAGCTAACAGTGACGCACAAACTTGAACTTGTAACTTGTTTCAATGTGTCTTTAGAGACATGGATCTAGTTCTTGTTTGAGTGACTTTTTGAGTCTATTTTAGAACTGAACGGGTGTGGTTTGCCTCACAGGGTTATGCAAAAGAGTTTAGACAATCCTCGTAAGGAAGTGAAGTAAACTTGCCGATGCAGGACGAACCCACCCACGGGGAATTACCCCACACATTCATGATACAATGTTTGGCTTGCGACTTTAGAGAGGTTCACATCCCATTGAGAAATCCCTCGTTCTTTTAAAGAGATAACCTTCAGGCCACTTTGGAGCTCTCACATTTGTGGGAAATGAATACAACCTGCGGCCTTTTGAAATGTCACAGTCCCACGTTTGACTTTCGACAACAGACAGGTATGTGTCCTGGAAGCCACTCCGAGCCCATTCTTCCTGTATATGTATGAAAGGAGCCCCGAGGCCCTGCTGTTTGCAGTGGCTCCTGAATGAAGGAGGCGTGTGTGCACATGCCAAAGCCAAAAAAAAAAAAAAAAAAAGAAAAGCGGAACACACAGCCATTCTGTTCTTCCGCAACACCGCGCTTCGTGCCCACTTGAGAAGCAGCGCTGCCTTGTGCCAGAGAGATTACATATTTCCTCACCTCGGGCCACGGGGGTTAAGAAGCCTCGCTCTGGTGTGGGCGACTGCTGCTGCGAGTGGATGGAGGAAATGATTTGAAATCATTTTCAATACGTGAAATCAAGGAAACAATCAGCAGGAACTTTAAAGGAACAGTTCAACATGCTGGGCTTTCTTGCCGAGATCAGACTGTTTGTATCAGATATGAAGCTGGAGCCTGGAGTCTCCGTTGGACCATAATCACTTTTATGACATCTGCAGCTCAAACACACGAGCATCTGCACATGGAAAGAGTCATTACATTCGATCGGCTCACTACACTGTCTATATTTAAATGTGGTTCATTTCCATCCTGATCTTATCGTACGTGTGATTGGGTGGTTATCACTCAACAAACATTCTTTTCCAGGAAGTTGTTGAACGTGGCCCGCTGGTCGTAAAACCCCAACTTGTCCGTTTGTACATTTTGATATGTGTACGGATTAAACATACAAGATATGACATGTTCATTAGTCAAATTTACAGAGTGCTAGTAACTGGACTATACTTTGGAGAGCCTGCTGGCTGTTTCCTCCTGTTTCCAAGCGATGCTAAGCTAAGCTAACGGTGCTATTTAAGGCACAGACACGAGAGTGGCCTCAATCTCCTCATCCAACTCTACTGCAAGAAAGCGAATACGTATGTTTGTAACAAATTGTCGGACCAAATGTGTCACTTTCAAGCGGTTTGATTGATCACTGGTGTGTCGTCTATTCTGAAACTATTCTATCGAGCACGCATGCTTTTATTTTTTGTGGCTAAGGCGAGCCGTCGTCTATCAATAGAAACACCCACACACACACACACACCAGAAAGAAGCAGACACACACTTCACCAGTTGGTTTTGAGCGCACACACACACACATACACACACACACACACTGGGCAGTAGCTAGGCAGCCGAGGCCCTCAGACATGCTGTTGACAGAGATTATCGGCACAGTTCCCCCCGGCTGCCTTTCTCTCTCCCCCCTGCATGTGACAGAGTTTGCTCTGGGCCTGGACTAGACCCCGACCAGGCTCCACCTGGTCCGCCACAGAGACGGGGGAGAAGACGAGGAGAATGAGTTCGGAGACGGGAGAGGGCCTCATAAAGGGAAAACCGTTTGCAAACCGGAAGGGAGTTATGTAAATGGGTCAGTCATTTAGGCCTTCTAAAAGAGAGAGGAGGCCAGATTGGGGCCAGGGGCAGGCGGGCAGGGAACATAAACCCATTATGTGAATGGGCTTCTCTGTTCAACGTAGGCTCCGCTTTCTTTTTCCTCTTTTTTTGTTTTATACTTTTACAGTGTTTAATTAAAAGCTGATATCAGCAATAGGTTTTCACTTCCCGAAATATCTTAAAAGCTGTCAGCACAGTAGTTCACATCCTGCATCTAATGTGACACCTTTCAGAAACCTGGTGTATAATTTACACAGGAACGGAAGCGCAACACCTGAGCCCTGTCTGTCAAGGAGGCAGGAGACGGCTTGAGGCCTCAAGGGTTTCACGGCGAGCACAGAGGCTCTTCTCACAGCCGGCTTAGTGCTCAGGTCTGGTCTATAGAGCGAGGTCATCAGTCCAGACTTCTGTGCTGGATTCATGGTGTTGTTTTCTGTTTACCGGCCAAAACATATTGCTCTCCCCTCCAGTGAAACTGCCAGGAGACGTCACCGTCGTCCATTACTCTGAGGTGAATTGGATCTAGATCCCTGATTTTAGATTTTTTTTTCAATAAAGATTGTTGCCCCGCAGGAGCATGAAGATCACAGGAACCTCATGCCACTCCTAATGCAAGGCCCTTAACCTGTAACATCCCCACTGGAGGCAAACCTCAACATAAAGTCTGTGGTTTTCACTCAGCAGCTCTTATAGGTGAGCGACTGGTGCCTCCTGGTGGTAAAACACGCAATTGCAATAATCCCCCCCACCACTGTTTAGTGCTAACTAGCAAATATTAGCATGCAAAAATGAGATGGTGAGCATGATACCCATAATACCATCCATCTTGCAACCGTCCTCAGATAAATGTTTCATGCTATGGTTCCAGATACTAATCCTGATAAAGGAAGTAAAGTTTCCACTCTGCCTTTTTTTTTTTCTTTCATATCAGATCATGTGCAACCTCAAATATTTGGCGCAATCTCGAGCTGACGAAGAGCAACTTTATTCTTCCTCCCTCCAACCAGCGTCTCCTCACAGAAAGCCGAGCTTTAAGACGTGAACATGTGCAGCCGTGGAAGCAGAGGGGGGGGGGGTGTCTGGCTGATAGCCCGAGGCACCAGGGTGTGTGGACACATTGATCTAGCAGGGAGCAAAAAGCACTCCCAGAGCAGCGCTAAAGAGCCTCCGGCTTGTATTTGTCAAGCCCCTCCGAGCGGGGCCGCTGATTTTGGATCAGCGGTTAGGCCACACCGCCATTTAAACTTCAATAAAGCCTGGTGAGTAAAATGGGTCACAAATCTCCGCTGTAGCATAGCTTCTAGAGGGACTAGGTCATACAAATAAAATATCCTCATCCTCAGTGAAACAGGAGATAACAGGCGTTAAAATCAATATTTTACAACACTTTGACTTTTAGATTTGACACATATAATAATAATAATAATAAAGATGTCATCAAAGACGGTAAGAGCCATTCAACTTGAATGATCCCACTCTGGCCCTTCTCTTCCACACTCCAACAATACGAATGATGCCTCATGCATACAGTTGAAGGGTCACTTTGCCTCAAAACACATGAAACTTAAATTGAATATAGACTTTATTTTTCAGATGACAAAAACTAATCCACAAAAAAACAAAAAAAAACAAATCTCTTGTTGGATCTTTTTGGTGGAAGATGAGCCGTGACTGTCCTGACGTGTCGTCGTGAGTTAACAGGAACCCAGAGACGCGCGTAGAGAAGGACATGCTTGAGTTGGACTGAGGTTCTCCCGAGGGCTTTGACCCAAATAAAGAAAGTGTGCTGCTAAGAATGAAACGACTCCAGTACAAACTTATGCAACTCCCTAGAATGCAACAAGCAGCGTTTGGCTCCATCTAGTGGACTGAATGAATGCAACCTGCAGCACTGTGTTAGTAGCACAGGGCGAGTAAACTCGAGCCCAAATGCCATAAAGATGATGCTCACGTGAACGAATGGATTCTTTTAAGGCGTTTATTTACTTCAAGTAGTCGTCGCTTGAACATTGTATTCTCATTTTACTGAACTGTGAAGGGAAGGCCGGGGGAGATAACGCGACAGAGAACGGACAGTGAAGCTGCTTTAAGGTCAACTTCACACCGAGAGCGAGGCGGCGGCAGCATCAGGGAACGAGCCTGATGAGTGACTGGATGACAGCCAGGAAGTGTTCGTGTGTGAGACTTAAATGTGTGAACACAGAAGCACCAGCTCGCTTGAGAGTTACGCCGGTTTAATTCAGGCTTTAAAAAAGGTACAGCATGTCTCATTCAGGGGCACTTGTTAGAAGATAATGGAACATAATATTCAGAAGTGTTTTCATGAGCGTATAATCACCTGAAAAAAACCCCCAAAAAATATAGAATCAAACGTAAAACTTCACTGACAGGCTTTTGAACTTTATTGGCATTTTTTGCAAGAAATCCAAGTCATTTTAATTCCAGTTACAATAAATCCAGAACAGACGTTACGAGGATCAAACAAAAAAACAGTTTGGATGCCGTCTCATTTATTTACAAAGAAAGAAATGTCATACTAGATTAATCCTGACATTACCCCCCCCTCATTCAGGGGGATACATCATGCAGCTGAGCTCTAATTCATTGACACACCTTGATATTGTTGAAAGAGGCTTTTTAGTTAGATATGAGCAGAGGCAAGAGAAAATAATGTTGAACAATACTGAAGCTGTCAACAGTTTATGCTAAAGCGATGAAACAAGACACAATAACCACCTTATCTCTTAAGAGGGGGAAAAAAAAAAAAAAAAAAAAAAAAAAGTGCAAATTGTCTATTTGGGATGATTAAGAATTCCAGTTGTAAAACTTGGATAGCTAAGATAACTGCGTTTTCCTTCGTTAAGCAGATTCACAAATCATACTCAACAGAAGTTCTTCAAAGTGCAAATAAAATGAGTTGGCATGAGCTGGTATGTACATTTCATGTTGCGGATGACAAAAAGAAGAATCAAACAAAGCGTGTTGTCCTTTGTCCAGTCAGGCTCCGTTTACTGCCGACTCCCATCGCTGCATTTTAAGAGCTTTTCTTGCATTTCCCTCTGATTTACTGCTGATTAAAATAGCTTTGTTGGCAAGTGTGCACGGTACACACACTGTGAACTCTTATTACTGATACACCTAATCCATGATCACAGGACTTCACGACTAGTGTAGGTCGTTACAAACAACTCGATTGCATCCGACTCTTTCACTCCAAAGAGTTTTATTTTAAAATGATGAAAATGTGTTGCCTCAGCTAGTTCAAAAGTCCCAAATGTCAAAGGTCATAGCTCCATTTAACTGGACTGGTTAAGAAAGAGTGACCGTTCATAGGTTTTTTTTCTGTCCTTCGTCTGGATACAGTCGAGTAAATAAGCTTGGGCGAGTCTGAGGGCGTGCACACAGAGCATCGGGGTCTGTGATATGTAAAGTGATCAATACGTGTCTGTTGTTCCTCACACTTTGAGATGAAAATCGTCCATCTTCCCTCTGGGCTTCCAGACTATTCTGAGGGGTAGATAGAGAGGCTGAGACGTTAGGCCGCACGCTGTCAGCGGAAGTCGAAGTAAAGGGTGCAGAAATGCTACATCACGGTTAACAGTAAGACTCGTTCAAAACACCCTCGACTTGCAGAATGTGGAATGGCGAAGCTAGCGCTACAAAAAAGAAACCGCTCGGAGACACATTGTGGAGTTTAACAGGTCAAACAGGATGAAAAGCTGGAGGCGAGATTTGAATACCAGAGGAGTAGGTTTCACTTCCTGCCAATTTCTTCTATTTTTTAAAATTCCAAATGTTTATAGATGAGATTTTCATTCATTCATGATAACACTGATGTCTTGTTGAGTATCGTTTGTGTTTCCTTCATTTTCGCTTCATTGTGCTTTCATTTAATGTTCCCGCGGCTCCTAACCGTCGGCTGAATTTGCCTCGGTTAACTCAGGTTACGTACCTCAAAAGCTTCAGAGACACGATACATACGCGGGACTGCTTCTTCAAACTGTTAAGAGCTTTGACTCAAAGGGAAGTGAAAAGAAATGAAAACCAAAGCCAGGGAAGAGATCTGATCATCAAAGACTTAATTTTTCGGGCGCGGTTTAGAAGTTCAGAGTGAGCCGCGTTATGCTTTTAATGAGAACGGTAACACTTTTCTCCCTACGTATCTCCTTCGTTCCTTCCCCGTCTCCTCTGTTTTCGCTGCAAGGACTCGTCGCTGAGGTCATTCGAGGGGGGGAGTGAGGGAACTTCACGTCGGTAAGGAATGGCGATGCAGTAGAAACCTGTGGGAAATAATCGTTTAGGGCAAGCGGCGATGTGGTGTTTGTTTCTGTTTTCAAAGGAGAGCTCACGTTATCGTTTAGTAGAGGAAGAAGAGGCGCGTTCTGTGAGACGTGGCCATAGTCTCTGACATGTTACGGACTTTGAGATAGTTCACGAAACCCCTGAGGAACAGCAGGATGCCTGTGGAAGGAAAGCACAGTTCACTTCACAACAGATCTCCACCTGAGAGTCGGCAAAGCTAATGCAAGATGAAGGAATAGAGACTCACCAAGCAACAGGAAGATCCACCACAGCCAGTATTGGCCATTGAAGTAACCAGTGAAGTAGTCTGAGAACTAAGAGACAAAGAGCAGCTCTTTCAGTATTGTTTTCTCTCCATGAACTCAATCCAGCACTGATATTACGAGAGAAAACAGTCGTGAACGTACCCTGACGATAAGAATCCACTTGATGAGGGAAAGGCCGAAGCCGCAGATGGCGCCGTAGCGTCCCGCGATGGTGTTGGTCAGACAGAAGGACAGGATGAACCCGATCCAGTTGAACAGGAAGGCCACTAGCGGGACAAGCACGAGAATGAGAATGACTTTCAGAGATAGAGGCTGATTAGGACTACTTAAAAGAAGGTAAACACAAGACGATAATCATCCTATTGTTGGCCTCGTTTGACTGTTATGACGTTACACAAGAAAGAAAACAGATACTGATCCAGGCTCCAGTCCTCTCTCGCTTTAGAGGACTGGAGCCTGGAAGACGTTATCATGGGACCGACTTACTGAAAAAGGCCAACATGAAGATTCCGTCGTTGCCAACTCGAAGCTGATCGGCGTCACTGAAATCATCTCTGGGAGGGAATTCATCATCCTGGACTCGCACAAATAAACCCCGTGTAAGTTCAAATCAAACCGTGCCAGACACACCCGCTACACAAATTAACAACATTTTGATAAGTGAAGGACATTGATAAAAAACAGGCCGATAAGACAGAAGAGAAATGCCGTCCTCACCCGTGGCATCACATCCACAGCGGAGGTCGCCAAGGAGGCCGCTTTGGCCTTCTCCGCTTCGTCATACGTGGGCAGCGAGGTGGCGACGCTGTAGGGCGGTGGGACCGGGAAGTCGCCGCGGTAACTTGTCTCTGTGGGGAAGCGGCGGAGGAGGAGAAGACGACTCGGGTCAGAAAAGCTGAGCTGGCTGAGTACCTGCCAATAGCGTGGTTATGCTGTCATGGAAATCGCTGCTGACTCATGAGTTTAGACGGGACCACAAGTCGCCACAAAACTGCAGCTGTAGCTATTTTAGGAGGCTTGCAACCACACTTTGGAAAAATCAAGCTGGAACTAAGAAAACGTGCATTCAGGGAACGATTAGGTCGACCAATTGGAAAGTAATCTCGTGCATACCTGGCGCTGCAGCAGCTGCTCCCAGGTCGATGGAGGCGTAAGGAGGCGGAGGTGCATCTGCCTCCCCCTGAGTGCTTGACCCCGACGCCTCCCCCGCTGCCGCCTGGCTGTATTCGGCCTGGCTCTGGTCCTGGGTGGATGTACCGGCTGTGGCAGAAGTGCACGGCTGCTGCTCGCTGGTGGAGGCCTCCGAGGCGTCATCCTCATTGTGCAGCTGGAGGGGGTTGGGGGGGGGAAATCGACACAAGCAGATCAGCTGATCAGTCAGCCAAAAAGTGTGGCTGCTCGAGGGGATGTTCACGCTGTGCCGAGTTTCTAAAAGTGGCATCAATCTTGTGTTTTCTGCCAGAATGGAGGGCCTTTTAAAGCTGGGGAAACTGTGTAAAGAAGGGCATCAAATATGGCCACTGTAGTATTTTATAGTCTGACATCAGTACTGTTTTCTGATAGCAGCACCAATGTCAAGTAGTTATTATGTAACTAGATGAGATTTCCACAATCTGGTTTTGGTTGTCAGCACAAAATGTGGGTCAAGACTGTTTTTTAAATTTATTTTCAAGCTGAATGCGTGGGTCGACATTTTCTTCATTACATTCATCCATCGATCAGTTATCATATGTGAAACAATTCTAAAAATCAAACACCATTTTTGGTACGTTTTGTGATCAGCACATTTTTCTGCATTAGCCATTCGATGTATTTATATTCTGTAATCACCTCTCTATGTAGTACTTTGTGCTGGCAGTGGCGGGGTCTGCCATCGGAAGCTTTCTTTGTGAAGCTGCCACAGAATTTACAATACAGGATTACAACTTTAACTGCTATTTAGGAGTGTGAACTGGAATAAAGTGACCAGGGTGCATACGTGAGACATGAGACCTCATCGGTATGTCAACAGAGGAAGGTCTCCGGGGGAATTGATACACATGTAATCACTTCATGAGCGTCCCAGCGACAGCTGAGAGTCAGCAACGGCCTTAAGTACATTAATTGTTGCCAGATGATGGAGTCAAGCGCCGTCTGAAATTACAGAGGGGCAACGGGAACAGGATGGGAACAGAACGGGGTGGTTGGAAATCTGGGTGAGAAAGTTAACTTGATCCCGGGCAGCATCGTTCTTTTTTTTCTTTTCTTTTTTTATCCTTCAATATCCGGTCAAAACTCGGCAGCACATAAATTGTTTTGGTTTCAAGGTTCATTCACTGGTATCTCCTCTTAAGGACCCAGAATGAACAGATAACAGGCTACTCAAGTGCAAGTTGAACTCGCTCAGAGGCGTGGAACTAATTTACGAACAACAAAGTGAAGCGGATAAGTGACAGCTGTTCAGAGTTGAGTTCTACAACACAATGTCCAAGTTAAGATGAAACAGTGTAATGTTATTCTGCTGGCTTGTGTTGATACAGCAAACATCATCTTCCAGTTTGAGCCGAACACCTTCACGGATGTTTTGCAGTTTTTTGTTTCGGTTCAAGAGTAGGTCGAAACCTATTTATTGCCATTCTAATTTCCAAGTTCATAAATGAACTTGGAATCAAGAGGGAATCATTTTTCTAAGTAACATTTTCCATGAACTAATGGTAATACTCTTGTTCTGGTAAAGCACAGCCGCAAACTGGGAAACACCCTTTGTAATAACAGTTTACATCATACCGATCAAGTCTCAAGTGACTAATAACAGCAGAGCTCAAGTAAGAAACAGACGTTATTAAAAGGACATCTCTTCATCGCCGTGCAGATTAACTTCTCTGAAAAATCCTTGAATTCAACTCTATGTGCACAAGGCAATGAGTGAATGAGGAATGTCTGACGACTAGCTCGGAATCAAGGACAAAGCACAACGCACCCCCCGCGCACAGGGGATTACATAAGATGTTTACAACAGAGCCACAAGCCTCCTCGTGTGTCCAAATATACCCAAAACTCAGAGCAGCAGTGCCCCACACTTAGAAAGTATGATTGAGAGGAGAGTGAGACCGCTATAGGGCAGAAAATGTGAGGTAGAAGGGAAATTGTCTAAGTGTAGGCAAAGTGATGTGAAAACCTGGCTGTCTACAAACCACAACAACTCTGTGTTGTGCTAATGTTGTTTTACAAGACCGGATTATTGTTTAGATCTGCACTTTGTTCAGGATTGAAAGGTTACCGCACACTGCTGGTTTGCTTCTGGCTCACACTGGACCCCAGAGGGATTATCACTTGCATACCCAGAACCACAGGCAGCAAGAGTACAAGAGCCGACTTCATGTCAAAGTGCTTCCAAAAATGCCTCAGCCACTGTTCTTAATCTACATGAACAGCATGTTTAATGCCCCCTAACCCAAATATTCACCTCTTTTCTTTTTACTCAACACCCACAATGCTTTTGACTAGTATTGGGAACACTCATTTTATATATTTATTGCCATTAATAACTAATGGAGAGATATAACATACATTGGTTGTTAGTTACTTAGTTTATTGATATCATTCCCTTCACAGGACTTCCACTAGCCTTTTAGACTTGAATACTTAAAGTATCAATATGCTAAGTGGCTCATAAAGTCCCCTTCAAGCTAACATTTCATTAAACATTAGCCAGCTAATAAATCCCCATGCTAATTTCCAGCTGAGCTCGTTTACACTTCTGTTAGCTTGTTAGCAGACACGTAGCTTCACAAATATATAAAATATGTTTATATTCAGCAGGTAAATGCACCCAAGAGACGGTCTACTACGTGTGTAACGCAGTTTATTAGGAGGTTAACTTTCCAGGCCTCCGAGGTAACTCTTGGGCTGTCTAGCTAACGTTAGCCTAGCCGATGCGGAAGTGCTCGAGAGGCCAATTGTCACAACAAAACCACTCGAGGAATGAAATAAAAACTAAAACACAAACGGTGAAAAAGAACATGAGCATATTTTGCTGTCGTGTCGACGTGATATAGCTCTTTCTAGTTGAATAGTAATAAAAAAATAGCAATGTCTTAATTCTGGCAAGGCCCTGTGACAGGCGGGCCGAGATATGAAACGGTGTTTTGGTCTCGTCCGTCCACACTCACCACTTGGTATCGGCTTGCTGGGTCCATCCCGACGAGGTTCAGCCGAGGAAACGAGAGGGAGATCCGAGTTGTTGCTCCTCCTGAGCTCGCGTTACAGACGGGACACACTCAACCACGTAGACTAGAACAGGATACAGACCGATGACAGAAATGGCTGCAGTCCACTGTGCACTCGCTTAGAAAAACACCGTTGTTGGTGAAAAACATTGACCAATAGAGTCAAACTACTCGCGTAATCGCGCACTTCCTTTCAAATATTTCAAAATAAAACATCTAAAAATGTTTGTTTTTTAAATTTATTAGTAATAACATTTGAACTCCAGGAGCTCTGCCTGTTTAGTCAAACAGTAGTACAAAAGCATTTAATTCAATTTAAATTTAATAAAGTAACTATCTATCTATCTATTTAAGCAAAATATACTCTAACTATCAACATAAAAGCACTCATTATGCTGAATGGCTGCTTTACAGTGTTGTGGTATAATACACATACAATGTATCATATTATTACTGATTTGTTAATGCATCACTTGGTCAATATAGTCAATTTAAACGAATTCATGTATTGTTGGTAAGTTAAATGCATTTTATTGAATCACATTTTATAAGCTGATCATATCTTCTTTGCGTTTGCAAAATAAGTAGGTAATTAAAGCTGGCATTACATTTTGTGCTATAATACGTATTATTGTATATGTTATACTATATTGTACCATATATACCACAATATTTCACTCTATAATGCAGTAAAGTAGCCTACAATAGAAATACTTAAATTATATACAAATACAAGTACAACAAGTACTTGGTTACTTTCTACCACTGCTTTTAGATGCATTAGTAGTAGCGTGTTGGGTGTTCTTGTGAATAAGATGTTAAACTCCTATAACTTGGTACATTCATAGTATGATTGTGTGTTGTCTGCAGAATAGATTTGTTTCTTAGGTGTAATAGTTTGGTGTTCCCATCTATGTGGAGAAAAATAACTGTTGCATGACAAACGGTTCCTGATTACTATTTTTTAAGTACTGCGCTAAAAAACTATTTGGACGGATTCGTCTGTTTTATTTTGAAGGCCGATTCCTCTTATTTCCGTATTTTAGTGTGACTCTGGCTGTCAACGGAATTCCACGGTTTGAGAAAGCGTGATGACGTAATCGCATTGAAAGGTTGTGACTAAAACGGGCCACTGGGTGGAGCCAAAGCCCACGACGTCACTGAACCACCACGAGCTGCTGCCCTGGCGATTCAAACCATGAAGATAATTTGACATGCCTCAGTTTTTCAAAGACATGTGGGCTGCACGTCACAATAATGACCCCTTAGTTATTGACGTTGAGTCAGATTTTAAAGCAGGTAGTTCTCCCTTTTCTTTAAAGGTGGCTTATTAAAGGTGGCAGTAGAACTAGGCCGAGGAGACTTCACAGCCATAACTCATGTTGAAGCACAGAGAAAATAAACCTGGCCTTGAATGAAAGACGAATTATCATCAAATCATAATTTATTCATAATATATATATATATATATATATTATGGGGGTTGGTGTATTTATCTCATTTTTTGAAGTTTACTCCGTCATGTGTTCTTGCCTCTGGGCTAATCCTGGATCAGCATTGCAGTGGATCAGTGCACAATAGGCTTTATGAATGCGAGCACTGACAGTTTGAAGGATAAATTACAAAGAGCTTCTGGAACCACAGCGGATTGACTTTGAAGGGACAGTCCGGGTCAGGAGGAAGACCTAACCTGTAGAAAGTCTTTCTCGCCTGTGGAATGATAGAAAAGTCGTGCATGTTGGACAATTCAAAGTCAAACATTGCAAATAATATTTTATTTTATTATTTACCTTTACTGTTTGACTATTTATTGCACTTGTTTTTTTGCTGTTGTTTTTTTCTACTGCTTGTCTCTTGTTGCACCGTCCACTTTGCTGCTGTAATCCTGCACATTTCCCCACTGCGGGACTGGTAAAGAATCATCTTTATTTCTAGCAAGAGGCTGATGAAGGCCTCTGAACGCAAAGAAGTGCAGATGCTTCATTTGAAGTGATGGGACGACACCCTTCCTCTCTCCTATCTGCCCGATCCATCGCATTAATACACTTAAACCAGTCCTTCGATCTGGCAAAAGCCGGGCAAAGCCACCCTAAACGGGGGAAACACGGCGAGGCATTGATAAAAGGCTCTTCTTGAATTAAATATTAATCCCATTCGCTAAGAAGGGGATTACTGTCGTACATGTATCAGTTAAGCAGCTCATCGCGGAGACAGAGAGCGAAGGAGAGGTTAGAACAAACGTCACAAAGATGTGAGGTGCGATGCAAAATGAAGACGCGGGTGCAGAATGCTGCAACACAAAGCGCATTGCCCTCTGCAGGGCAGCGGGCATTAACGGCATTAAGGTTTAATATGTAGCAGTTATGATCGATGACTTCCAGCCTGCAACCTTTTTAAAGCAGCAGACCTGCGTGAGAGGGAAGAAGTCATTTGCACAGATGCTGTTAGAGCCCCACTTTTAGAGCCCGTAATGGCACTTAAACACATCCATCGCTGACACACACACACACACACACACGCACACACACACACAACACAATCAGGATGTTGTTACTTGGCAACATCATTTCAAGGTAAATAGGTGCTGCGAAAAAAGGTGTTATATAAAGACACAGTGGGTGTCTGCGGCTCTCCAGCGAGGCCGACTCATTCTTATGCCGTTTGACGGGAGGTGTTGTTTGATGGTATTTTGAGTCGATTTACATTTGATTGCAGCAGACGAAGGCTATGTAGAGGACTTCAATGCGTTTCAGAAATGCTACGTGCACATTGTTGCGAAAAGGATCATAAATCAGTCTCGTACACACTGACGTTTGGTTGGTATGGGACTGTGGTGATTAGTAAGGGTGAGGAGGGGGTTTAAAAAGGGGTGAGAAAAGGGAGAGGGTTATGTATTTTTGCAGAGGACTACGCCAGATCTTTATGGATATTAGTCATTCTCACCCTCACAAAAAGGAAGAAGTCCATTTAGCAAAGGCTCCATTCATGTTAAGGTATGCCGAGTGGAAGCTAAAAAAAAACATTTGCGTACATGCACATGCAAACATTTGTTGAGTGAGTCTTCTGACTGTAAAATGTATTCAATTCAATCATTTAAAAATGCCTTGAACAAGACTTTATGACTCTGAATGCGTTATTCATAAATGCTTGCACTGTTTTTTCGTCATAATAACATCATTTAATATGCACAAGCAAGCAATCGTTGGGAGATATATCGACCTTTTCTTAAAGAACACAGAATAAACTGCAGAGATGTGAGCCTCTCTACCACTGGCTATACGAGGATAGGGCTGTAATTGAAAAGTGTAAATAAGCAGGAACTCTGTCCATGAAATTGGCCCCTGCACAGTGCAAACTACAAACATGGAGTAATTAAACGTGTAATTACGCCGTCTATGGCTCTATCGACACAGGCTAAATAAAATGCCTGTTTAATAACCTTCGGTATGAGATACAAGCAGCTGCTAATTAGCAAGAAATGTGAAAACGGAGAGCATTAATCACACGTACACGCCTCTCTGTGTCTGCAGACGAGTGTGTGGGCGTGTGAATCTGTGATGGAGGGGGGTGCAGCACACAGTGCACGTATGCTGTATGCACTTAAAGCGCCCAGCAGAGGGCAGAAAACACAAGGTTGTCCTTTGAGCTGCTGTATTCTATTTATTATCTCACCATGCTTACAAAACACACTGAACAGCAGAGATTTTAAGGTAATTTGTATTTTTTTTACTCACTCTTATCAAAATCAAAATCGGGGCAAATGGCTGATAATGTCTGAAATAGTGATACCATCTTGTATTCTGTCTAAAAATCTGTTAATGTCCTCCATGCCAGATCATTCATGACCTGTGAAACATTATTTGAGATGCTGATGAGTCAAGAAGAAGTGGAGTCGAGAGATTTAAATGATTCCACCACATCTGGCATCTTTTTTTTTAAGATGGTCATTTTCTTTCAAAGTTCAAAGTTTGCATCAGCCGACTGTGGTGAAGTGCACTAATTACTAGTGCTGGGCAACGAGTAAAATATTTAATCACGATTAATCGCATGGATTTTTTTATGGCAAAGTTCAATAATGAATTCAAAAGTAGTGTATTGTGCACTTTTATTTTAAAAGTGCTGCTGTATGAACAAAAGGGCAATAACATTTGGTTCACGAGATGCAGGTAGCATGTTTTATACTTAATGTGAATATAATTCATACTTTGTTGGCATCTTATTCTGAAAACCGGATGTTCGTCTGAAGAAACCTGATGTTGTCTCACGTTAATCTTTCCGCTAACTTTCAAAGTCCTTCGCTCGCTCCCGATCTGTGCCGTTTGAATGCGTTTACCGTGAATTTCAGCATATAGGTGCACTAAAATTACTGACTATAGGATGTTTGCTGGCTTTTATCCCACTGTTCTTGTCATCCTCTTGTTGTTATGTATATGTATTGTCTCTTGTCTTTCAAGAAAAACAAACAAAAAAAAAATAAAAATTATAATAAATAAAAAAAATGCGTTAACGCGCGATAAAATAATTGTCGGCGTTAATTAATGAATGCGTTAACGCGAAATTAACGCGTTAACTTGCACAGCACTACTAATTACATTTAATGTCGGGGAACTTTGGAATAAATGAGGCTGTCTGTATCATCACCGCCCAAAAACCTACAGCTAAACCTCTTGGCCAGTGACTAAATGCGCTAGTTGACAAAAAAATGCGTTGCTTAAAATCAGGGTTTAATTTGGTTCATTTAAAAACCTGCAGAGGAACCTGCTATTCCTCACCTGCCCACTAGGTGCCCTCAGTGTGTTTCCCGCCCAACCCATCACCTGACCGGTCACATGTCTACACACCTTCTCCTCATTACTCATCAGTCAAGTACAGACTGATCTCCAAACCACAACGTCACGCATTTACCAGATCACATGTGATTTCAGGCCATTTTCACACGTCGTCCTGCGGTTCCGTAGAACTATCCGATCGCTGCAGTGTAGCTCCTGAATGTCGTGAAATATCAATCATCGTTTACACAATCATAATGCTAAACGGAAAGAACAAACACAATTGCCTCAGGGCATTATAAGGTGAATAAAGTTCCAATAGCTAACATGAACAAGAACAAGATTTTCATCTGATATAGTCTCGCAAAACA